TGGTACAGGAGACCACTTCGTGAACATAACATCAGTAGCACAAACACTGACGAAAAACTTTTTTGCTGAAAATTACAGTAGAAATCTTTGTGTATTTATTTCTATAAAATAATGCATTTTTGCCTTAACTGGTAGGATGATGAACTAAACCTTTTCGTTTTATGATGGTGGTAGTGATAATTCATTTCTGATTCCTAGTTCTCGTCCTGTTTACAATCCTATTCTTGCATACGAAGTCATTGTAGTTCAAATAGTCATAACATATTATGGAAAGAAGGAAAAATTGGAATTTGTGTTTAATACATTTAATATTTTTCTGAAAAGATTTTATGTTCTTGTAGGTCTGTGATGAAAACTTCTAAAGCTAAGACCAAGGTATGGAAAATTAATTTAAAATAGCCAATTAAAATACAGTGTAAAACACAAGCCAATACATCATTAATTTAAAAATATATTATGAAAGTAAAATTTAAAAACTGAATTTTTTAGTTATATGTAGACATTTTGAAAAAGTTTATTAAGAAAAAGTAATCCTGGGGGTAAGGGGGAGGGGAGGGGGAGGAGGAGAGGGAGAGCAAGGTGGGATTGACATGTGAAACAAGGTTGTTTCTAACTTAAATAAAAAAGGAAGAGGAGAAGAAAGAAAGAGTAACCAATGTAAAGCTATCTTTTCTATGAAATATATATCTATGTTTTTTGTTGTTTTTGAGGAAAGGTCTCACTGTGTATCCCTGATTGGCCTGAAACTCACTACTTAGACCAGGTTAGCCTGGAACTCATAGATATTCACCTGCTTCTCCGTCTTGAGATTAAAAATGTGCATAACTACACCCAGAATATCTGTTTAGTAATATAAAAAAGTGGATACTTACCGCATCTTTAGTGTTTGGTATAAATAATGTATAGACATCTAAAATTGATACTATTCATTTTGTAGGTCAAAAAAGTAAGTAATAAGTTTGACCCTAATAAATTTGTGCCACATGAAAGAAACTCAGAGGACTGTGAGATCTTCAGCTTTGACAAGATCTTGTCACTGATAGAAGACGTCATGAGGCAGAGCAAAGGTAAGAGTGCTTCACGTGTGTGTGTGTGTGTGTGTGTGTGTGTGTGTGTATGTGAGAGATAGAGATGAGTACACAGTGCTTAGAGCTGCCCAATAGGACAAGGGTGTATTAGAGTATTGTCCTGTCACTGATTGGCTTTATATCAAAGAAGAGTGATAGCTAGTTTCATCAGGAGCTGCCACCAAGCCCACTGAGCTTCCGTGAGTGAGTATGGGTAGCTCACTGTGTTGGTGTTGTTGTGATTTAGCATGTTGTGTGGTTTAGCATGCTAAAACAACAGGCTTCAGATGAGGCAGCCAACATATTGTGTAAATTAATTGCCCAGGGTTCTGGGTGCTGAGAAGTCTAATCCCAGTCACTGGTAGACTTAATTGAGGGTATACTTACTTCCTCACGAGTAGGTTGTGCCTTTTTCTTGCATCTTCCCTGGCTGGAGGAATGAAGCAGCACCCTAGAGTCACTTTGATAAAGAATGCTAAAGCTCTTCATGGTGGCTCTGCCCACACCATATAACCAACTCCCCACAGCCCCATTTTGACTTAATCTTTTTGTTAGTTTTAATGTATAGAATATACTCTGATGTTATATTCTTAGACCATGCTCTGTGTTTGGAAGAAAAATGTAGCTTGACACTATTTTTCCTGCTTCTCTCTCTACCTGTTCTGTTACTTGCCAAGTAAAGAGAATTGACGTCTCACCTGGCACCCATGAATTTGTCTTCTTCTGGGAGTTCTATTTTGCTCCATGCCATTGGATGCTGAACTCGCTCCATCTACATTAGAACTTTGTCTCTTATTGATTGTTGTTATGGGGTGGCCCTGTTTTTTTCCTTATGCTAAGTTTTGCTGTGAAGTTTACATTGATACAAACATTGCTAGCTATTCCAGCTAAGCTATGTTTTTAAGTATTCCCATTTAAAAATTAATTAAAACATCCTCTAGCTGTCTTGAGTGTGTGCATGCACACACCTGTGTGTCTGTACACCTGGTGTTAGGCCGTGTGTACCTGTGTACATGTATAGACCAGAGGAGAATTTTGGGTGTCCTGCTCTATCATCCTGTAGCTCATTCCTTTGGGGTAGTGTTTCACTGAAGATGAACCTAGGTTAGCATACTAGCGGCACTCCTCTTGTCTCCAGTTCTAAAAGTCTGCGATTCCAGCTGCACATGTATGATCTTACACAGCTTTTTATATGGGTGCTGAACTCAGGTTAGTATGCTCAGACAACTAGCAAATGCTCTTATGCACCGAGCTATCTCTCATAACCCTGGTTGGATTTAATTTTTATCCACTTGTATATTTTTACCATTTTGGGGTATTGGTGTTCGTGTGTGTGTGTGTGTGTGTGTGTGTGTGTGCTATGTGTCTGTGTGTGTGTGTGTTCATGCAAGCACATTCATGTGTGTATGCACATCTGTACCTGTACCTATGTTATTTGATGCCAGGCATCTTTCTCTATTCTCCACTATAATTTTTTGAGACAGCATGTCTCATTGAGCCTGACATTCCCTAATTCTTTTGGGTTAGCAAGCCAATGAACTCCATCCAGGTGTCCTCCTATTGGTGCCTCCCAGCATTAAGCAAGACCTTCCTCTTTACTACGGTCCTGTGAATTATGACTCATTCAACCTGACTTATGGGAAGGGACGTACTCTTCCTTGCACTTTAATTGTGTCAAATGTTGAGTCTCTCAGCCCCGGGTCATTTCCTGGAATGCCTGTGTTGTTGGATGCTCTGCAGTATGTCCAAGGTGTCCTTTCTAGATCTCAGAGCATCCATACCCCCCCTTTTTCAGTTCCTTCCTCTCCTCTCTAGAGTTCTGCCTGTGATTTCGATCTGCCTTGTTTCACCAAATAACTTAACACCTCAGCTCCAGGAGTCTGGTAGAGTCTGAACAACTGTATCCTCTTCATATCCTAACAAAGCCTGAGCTATCTCATAGCTATCTCATACCTCATAGTGATAGAAAGTTAGGGTAATATAATGTAACTATTTTTATGCCTAATAGGGACAATTTTCTACTTTGTCAGAAGTATTTCAGTCCTTAAAACATATTTTTTTCCTGATTTGAGTTGTGTTATTTCAGGTCAGAGTCAAAACCAAGACCTGAAATCTTTGTCAGAACTAGAGGGCGGTAGCACCTGGGCATCTGCTGTAAACTGCCTACAATGTGCCTCTTCACAGTGGTCACCTATTTCTTGTTCATGTGTCATGCCTATGCATTTCCATTAGGACATATTCCTTCATGTTTGCTTGATTTCATTTCATTGTCATCTTCTGAACTTGTAATGTTAGTGTTCATGTCTATCTTTCCCACTAGTTTTTAGGCTAAAGTACCGTAATTGTTCCCTTATTTTTAACTGCAGATCTTACCATAATGTGTCCCACAGTGTAGGCCATCAGTATACCTTTCTGCAGGGCAACATTAAGTGAAACTCTCGAGCTTTTCATGTATCAAAGATGCTGCTGGACTTCATTTGCGCCTTTTCTCCAATTCAGATTCTAGCAGCCTCATGAGGATCTGGAATGCAGTTCATTCATATCAGAAATCACTGGAGCATAAAACACATGCTTTTGACAAACTTCATGAAAAATATGAAGATTTAAAAATTAATCTCAGGGATACTCAAAAGACGGCGTCAGAAACAGTCAAAGAAAAGTTAAAAGTAGATACGGAAAACACTATATTGAAAGAAGAAATGCACAATCTGAGGTATGACATCCCAATTTTAAAATCCTTTAATTGTTTACATTAGATGATAAATAGAATTTCTGTAGCTTGTCATTTACTTTTGAAGTGTTCTTCAGGGAAGGAAACTTTCCAAGTTTGAGTTTTATTATTATTTTTTGATACATATCTTAATGCAGTCCAGGGAAGCATCAAATTTGTGATCTCCTGGCCTTCGCTGTTTGATGTTTGGGATGATAGGTTGGGAGCCTCTATGTCTACCTGAAAACTTCTTAGTCTTGTGGAGTGTGAAATTAAGGTAATTAACAAATATATCTAATTGTGACTATTTTCTATAATTACATATGTGTTCTTTCAAATCACAATTTAATGTCTAGAGAGAAACTTCACTTATTTGTGAGACAACAGTTATAGTTTCAAAAGTTATTTTACAAGTATGCTGTAAGGAATACCATTTATTAAAAAAAAGCTTTTCAACATGTTGAATTACTAACCTTGAATAAATTCTTCAGAATAGAATTATTTGACTCAAGGAAATAAATCCTATAAAAGGACTTGATTGGCAGATTTAAATTGTCCCAAACAAAATGTATATTAATTACAAATTCCGCCAAGAGAATATGAAATGTTCTTTTTCTCAATTCAGAAAAAATATATAAAATCATTTAGCATTTGTGATGCTGTGTATCGAACCTAGAGTTTTTTTTTGTTGTTTTGTTTTACGAGACAGGGTTTCTCTGTATGAACGTAGAGTTTTATGTGTGTGTATGTGTGTGTGTGTGTGTGTGTGTGTGTGCCTGTGTATAGTACTTAATGGCATGCATGTTATAGGTAATATTACAATTTCACCAGACACCAGAACTCCCCATGCTTTTTATTTCTTTTCTTTTTCTTTGATTTTTTAAAGAATTTATTTTTATTAATTAATTATTAAAATTTCCCCAGCCCAATCACAGTTTCCCCTCCATCCTGCCTCTCTTCCCAGTCACTACGCCCTAGCCTCCCCTTTCCCCACACCATCCGCTCCTCCTCCTTTCTCTTCAGAGAAAGGACCGGTCTCCCATGTGTATCAGTCAGTCATGCTATATCAAGATGCAGTAAGACTAGGCACCTTCTCTCCTGCTGAGGCTGGATGAGGCAACCCACTAGGAGAAAAGGGTCCAAAAGCAGGTAAGAGAGTCAGTGACAGGCCCTGCTCCCACTGCTAGGAGACCCAAAAGAAGACCATGCTACACCCTGTAACATATGCGCCGTAGGCCTAGTTGAGTCCTATGCAAGCTCTCTGGTTAGTGGTTCAGTCTCTGTGAGCCCCCATGAGCCCAGGTTAGTTGATGTTGTGACTTTCTTGTTATGTTCTTGGTTCCTCTGGCTCTTGCAATCCTTCCTCACCCTCTTCAACACAGTTCCCTGTTGAATACATACATATAATTAAAAAGAAAAAAATCTTTAAAAGACAGTGAGGAAATGATCACTGTTTTATGCAAAAATTAAGAAAGAGAAGCAGCACAGTAAAGAACAAAATACTGAGCAACGTGAAATCTGTTGTTTGGGTTTGCCTTCTGGTTTGTTTTAAGACAGTAACCATGAGCTCTAGACCTGCTTTGAGCTTTCTCTTTAATACACTTTTGACTTGAATTTGTAATCCTACCGCCTCATCCTTTCAAATGCTGTGGTTATAGGTATGTCCCATCATGTTTCACAATAGATGTTTAAGTATTAAGGCATGAGAAGTACCTTTAATTGACTAACGAATGTTGATTTCACAGCATCATATTTTCAGATTAGTATTTGAGATGCTTCCCACAGTCTTGTCCTTTATCTCCTGCTTAAACCAAGAGATCCTCAATGCATTATGTTACATTATCATTGCCAGCTGATCGGTACTAAGATAGTAACCTATAAATTACAACAAATATACAAAATGGCTTGGTTAATGGAATTAGTGAATACCCATGAAGTACTGAGGCGTGTTCTGGGCTTCATGTAGCCATATGTTGCCACTTTCAATAGTATGATAAATGACTCAGGGCAACTTCCACAAAGACCTCATTCACTGGTACACCAGCTAAAAGATGATCAGACACAGTCACACAAACACAAACCACAATTATTATATGGGGTTCATTTTGTGACATATATTTTCTAAGTTTTTCAATGCAGAGTTGCTAATTTAATCTTCTCAGTATTTCACTTAGAAGCTTCATGTCCATTTTGCAGATGAAAAAAATAAGACCAGAAATGTTCACTTGTCTGAGCTGAGTACATAATATATGTTTAAATCATAGTTGGTGAGCTGGTGCTTTGGATATAGAAACAAAGGTCACTGTAGGCAATCTCCCCCTGTCTCATACTTGGCAAATTTGAGTGTTTGGTAATTTGAAGACAGGTCCATAAATAAACAATTTTGAAATTGTCCAGATAACGTGACACTAGGCATTGTGGACAATGACATCCCTATTGCT